TGTAGCTTCACTGCCCCCCCCGCCTCCATCCTCACCCCCCACTTCTGGCTGTTTACTCCATGTTTGTTATGTAGAACATGACTCACCAAAGAAGAAAACAACAGAAACTCCTCTGCAGCCAGTTAGCGAACAGTGATGTCACTGTTTTATACATTCTTTCTTTTGGCTTCGACTGAAGCCAAAGAACCGTCGGAATCTTGTTTTCTTTCATTCTTTAAATTAACTTATCATTTACACCATTTCTTTTACATTCTTATAAAAAAGAAAATTGGAGGTAAAAGTTACTGAAAGTCTGTGATTTAGGTTTTTTAAAACACACAGTGCGGTCCACGTACCTCAACGTGCCACTGAATGACTCACTCCCTGGGCCGTCACCCCCGTCAGGACGACATCTTGGCTGAGGTCACGTTCGATCAGAGCTCTAGTAAAAAACGTGTCTTTATTACAGACAGATGGCGCTGGAGATGTCCCCTGTTTAAAGACACGCAAATGAAACAATTAAAAACGACTTTCGCTACAGTTTAAAAAAAAAAAACAAAACTTGCACAATCAGAAGATTTATGATGTGGTCGCAGCTGCTGGCTGCCCCATGTTGCCTCACTCCGGCAGAGAACTTCTTTATACATTTCGAGGTTAAGGGACCCAAAAGGAACACATGGAGAACGTTAACGTGACTTCAGTAACTTTCACGTTTACCTCAAAGTTGGGATTCAGCTCCTTTCTTTTTCCTTTGTTAATTCATTTTAAAGAAACTTTATCCACTTTAGGAATACGTGATGTTTCATGATCCCCGAGTTACAAGTAGGATCCAAACCAACTGCTGACACTGGCAACAAGTCACCATACGTCGCCTCCCACTTTAACCCCTGCAGCACAAGAAACTCTGATTAGTCACAAATAAGAAATGGTGAGAAACAGTGACCTCTACCTGCTGACATTTGTCTTTCTGTTCCAGTAATGTACAAAAAACTTTTAACCCCAAATTAAAAAATTGTTGATGTCACTGTAAGACTCTGAAACTGACGGCTCGTGTTTAGGTGTTTCCTCTGCAACAACGACAAAAGATATTTTCACACAGAACTTACATCTGTGAGTGTCTCAGGTTGCCAGGTTGAAAATCTCCAGTTGCCCACTTGGAGTAGATCCGTTCTGCGGTTCCAGGAAAAGGCAGTGAGTGGGTGTTCGGGATCCAACTCACAGCTTGTGTGACCTCAGCTCACAGCTCCGTGTTCTCATCCGTTACTATAGCATCCCGCCTGCTATTTACAATAAATAAACACAGGGGTTTCAACAAGGAGTGTGTGTGTGTTTCACTGTGGCCTCCTGCATCATGGAGACGGTGGCATCTGAAGCTGAGGACGGCCGTCACAGTCTGGGAGAAAGGACTTGGAGTGCAGGCTAACGGACCGGTTCCAGCTGGGGTTTTTGTTTTTTTTGTATGAGGACTGAAAGACTGGACATCAGAGACTTGACAACTGCAGCTGAGGCGTCACAGAAGACAGGATTTGTCAACGTTGTTAAAGACAACCGAACACATCAACACGCTCTCCGATCACTAATGGTTACGACAAAACACTGATGAAAAATATTCAAACTAGCGCCGGGTCGAACCAGCGTTTTTAATTCGATTTAATACTTTTTTTTTGGCAATCATTTTCAATACCAATACTGATACTTTATGTCAATGTTTTCATACATTTGTAAACGAAAAAGTATCGATGTATTCATATCATGGAGTCGATATTCCATTCAACAATTCAATGCTCAACATAAGAAAAAAAAGATAACGTCTCAGCTTCATCTTTTAGTTATAAAACTAAGATTTAATATGAGTGAACAGTTCGCGGCTAACATTACTGTCTCCCAGAATTTTTCACATGCCTTTGTAAGGTATTCATATTTGTTTGGGACCAAAAGACCAAGACCATCCAAGAAAACATTCTGGATCATTCTTTTCTGTAGATTCTTGCAAATAATGACTATAGTAAATGAGAAATATAATATAAACAGACAACAGAACGCCATATGTTCTTGAGAGGGTGTCCAATAACTAAGGAGAAGCGGTTCTACCACTATCCCCCCGTTACGGTGTTTTAAGAACCAACGGAGTGTAGAAAAAAAAAGAGAAACGGGATGGAAGCAGACGCTGTCTGGATCGCACACGAACAATGGCTGTCTTTGTGGAGCCAAGTTATAAAATGATGGTTCATGTTTTGGAAAAGTCCCATTGTGTTGTGAAAACGGTTTTTGTTTTGCCATTAGCAATAAAGAGAAGCGGTCTCTCCCCCCGTGGTCTGAACATCCTGGACGGTGGAGGTCGGTGTGGTTGTGGTCAGGAATATCCAGTTGCTCCTGACAGTTGGTGATGAGTCAATGTTTCAGTGATTGATTAGCAGCCAAAGTAAAGGAAACTGTCTCTGGAGTTAAACTGTGAACAAGGACTTTTTGTTTTTTACCAACCGCGAGACGCACTGATAACCGGTGGAGCAGAGAGAGGGTGGAGGGTGGAGGGTGGAGGGTATTTGTCCTGATGGTCTGTGATGAAGGTCCGGCTCATTTCAAATAAAAACCAGGTTCTCCATAACACAAGTGAAAATGAGGAACAAAACAACCAGAACAAGGAAAACAGGTCGACTGACTGACTTTCACCCAGCAACACATCAGCATGTAGACCAGTACACTCTGGAATCGAACCCCTGACCTTGTGGTTGTGGTTCTTTAAATGAATTGCGAATAAAAACATCACACTGTTATTTCCAGTAGTGTATTCCAGAATAAATCTAAATCCGTTCCAACAATTTTTAATTTTTTTTTTTACAATATTTCCCATTATTTATTAAATTTTTTTAAAAAAAAACATCCTGTGCATACAGGATGTTCCCCGCAAGGAATGAAACTCCTTCGACTGGAAGGTCGTGACCCCTGACAGGAGCTAAACCGTCCTGCTGGTCGGTCCACTCTGAGAAGTTTACAGCTGAGGCTCAGATCTCAAACCCCTCCCATTGTTGTCGTGTTGTCGACCACGTGTTATGCCAGGTGTTGTCCACATTCACAGAACATCTGAACATCATCACTCAAGCGTGAACTGAAATGGAAAAGCCTTGTGTGTATTTTTCTTCCCACGTAGTAGTTTACACTGGTACAAAGTGTTTTGGTGTCATGTCAGAGACTCCTGCCAGACTGTTTGGACTCAGATGTTAGATTTCTCAGTGATTTTTTGTGAACCGATGAACCGATACACTGGCTTCAAACACGTCAACAATTACAAACGAGTGGAGAAAAATCACCGTAGAAGTCTTGTGTTGAACTTGTCCGGTAACTACCGTCTTAAACACAGCTGTGGTTTCAAAACAAACTTCCTGCTTAGACACCGTCTCCACAACCAGAGCTGGAGAGTTTCAGACAAACGTCTGTCAGTCTTGAAGTCTTGTTAATGCGGTTTAAGGAGCCCATCGAGGCTCGTCACGTAAACTGCACGTCAGCACTGGCCCGGGTTTGGATGCATTAAAGGCTGAGGTCACTGTCAGGTGCAAAGATGTATGAAGAAAAAAAGAACACGTAAAGCAACATTTCTAATAAATCATGCCTTTTATCTTCGTCTCTTTTCGACTTTTCCCTTCACACATAATGAATTGTTTGGCTTCACGACCCGCCGGCCTTTTTGGCATCAAACCAACATTTAAGTCATGAAAAGCTGATTCAGTTTATGTAAAGTTGTCACGCTTTCAAACACTGCGATGAAATATACGGACCTTCACAGGAGAGTGGGTTTTTTTTTTTTTTAATTTGATTTCAGGGGAGGACATTTTGAAGTATCGCTGCAGAACGTGCCAGAAAGTAATGTAGAAAAGAATGTAAAAGCTCAGTTTATATCATAAACTCTCTACACGCTCTGTGTGTGTGTGAGCTGTTCATCACTTATATACAGAACACGATGTTTATATACTGAACATGAGCCAGTTTTAATTTGACCATCATCCATCAAAGCCCAGACACAGGCTTCATTTCAGCACTTTTTTATACGACAAAAGACGTAAAACACAGAGAAGGTTTTTTTTCTTTCTTTCTTGGGGGCAGGGGGAGCTTTTTTCCAAACCATGTGTAACAATTTAAAGTAATCGCAGATCATCGTCAGAATGTCCAATAAATAATTAACTTAGGACTTAAAGAAAAGGAAAGTTAAAAAATGTTATCAAAAATAAACTAACCCTAAACCTAATATTATCATAGACTAAAAAAAAAACTAAACATTTTGTTAATGTAAATACAACTGTCCTCTAAGCTCTGTAACGCCCCCTAAGGACCAAAGACAGTACGTGCACCTTTGGTGGCTTTTGTTCACACATCAACTAAGATGTTAGCGTGAAGTCGGGATCCCTGACAGGATTTACATTTTTTTTTCTTCAATTTAAAGAAGAAAAAACAAATTGTTCTTCTCGAGGATCAGCCAATCAGAGCTGCGTTTTCTCATTTATCAACTAATAACCACTGATCATCTCAAACTGAATGTGTGGCCAAAATCCTGGCACAGTTTACGGGTTGATGGATGACAGTCGCTGAGAAACCGTCTGTTGTGTGGAGGTCACCTCCTCTAATGGGGAACATGAGCTACAATTATTTAAATTAAAGTATAACGTATGAATTTACTCCAGCTGTGTCAACAGCACACACACACACACACACACACACACTGCTTAAACCCAGAATGAAACGCAGCTGCATTAAAGTCAGTGACGTGGATCTGGTCACTCATCTGTCCTCAGAGATGAAGAGG